ACAGCTGTCCAGCGAGGCCTCGGACGGAGCTTCAGCGGTAGATTTGTGTTAGGCTCCTTAGAGTTTTTCCTGCCGTGTGATTGACATTTTATTGTTTCAACAGGAACGCCAGGAAGCCGCCGGAAGTGTTTGATTATGGGTAGAAAAATTAGGGACTCCAGATTATCGTAACCTAGGTTTTTAGGGAATTGAAACAGAGTTAATGTATGTGTTTGAATGTGACGGGTGAATCATTTGACCTTCTGTTATTTATTTATTTTACATCTTCCGTTCAATATTAAACGTATTTTTTTGTACACTTTAACATTTGGTGCTGACACGTTAAAAAAGGCACTGAATATTAAAGTTGACGGTTTTCTTTTGAATTATTTTTCGACAACAATTTCTCGAATAGGGTTAGAGACTGACCAATTGATGTATAGCTATTCTGACATGTGCACATAGACATCTGGCGGGCTATGTTTTGCCAGGTATGACATTCGCGACCCAATATGTTTTGGACAATCCGAATGTCTTGCTCATAATTAATTAATTAATTAATTTGGGCCCTGTCGAAAGAATGTAGCGCTGATCAGATACATATGTGAATAGCTACGCAACCTTGCAAAGTCTAGAATTGCACAATGGACTGCAGTCCGTAGGTAATTGTTATGAGAGGATGCCTGGAAGGATGAATGAAAGGTTAGCGATAAGAGTGGAGTGTTTTGAGGTGATCTGAGAGTACGCGAGATGGTTTGAAATTTAGCTAGATTAGGTGGTTTGATAGGAGAACCTCTATGGGATATGGTGATTGGATGAGCTTTAAGGTGTGTTGGGTGGCTCATATAATTCCTGATTGTTATCCTTTCTAGACCTAGAAGTCTCAATCAAAACCTAACCTTTCCCTGGGAAGTCGTGTCATACTCTTTTCTTACAGCACGCGTAACTTACCGCTGTTCGAGTCAATCATCACACAATCGTGATATTATTGTTCTTTTTTTTTCTAATAATAAAACCAGGTAAAGCAACCGTACACAAAAGGGGACAGCAAGGGCCGTGTAAGACTACGAGCTCAACGAGTCAACGCTGCCAACTCGGAGCAAGACCCGCGATGGCTTCAGATCAATATGTGCGGCCTAGGACGTCTGGAGTTATTACAGCTAAGTGGACGCTTATTTTAATTTATAATAATGTTGTGTATTCCGTTCCAGCTTCCCTATTTTATGTTCTTTCCTTATGTAGAAACGCGCAAACCTATTATTTCACAACGTAGGGACAAAATTAATCCACTAGACGAGTTAGGTATCGAAGGCCAAGTTTTACACTATAAATTCCTTTAAAGATTTTATTAGGTAGGTAGAACATTTGTTACAAGCAGCAGGGCAACGCCTAAAGTTCAGAATTTTGACACAAGAACTACCTATAAAAACCTCTTTTGACAGCCGCCGAACCCATGAAAACCACTTGGCCACTGTCAAAATGAGCCTTTATTAGTATCCCAACTGTAGAGCAGTTAAATCAATCTGTAGCAAGTAGATACTTTCTTTTTCATTCATTTTTAACTCATACATAATAAATAAATAAAAAAAAAACAAAAATAAATTATATAAAAGTTAAATGCCAATAAAATTACAAGAGGTTTAAAAAGTTTTACAAACATTTTTATGTAATTACGTACTTAGCAGTTACCTACTTATTAAGTAGGAGCTACCGGCTTGACCGACCCATGTCTTTTCAATCTCTTTATGGTCGTCTCAAAGCGACGATTTTGTGACATCTAATGGAAGTTTAGATGTCGGTATGACTTGAACTAGTTTCGCTTCTATTTTATGTAAATACTATGAACATATAATGATGCATAGCACTGTGAGTGTATTAAAATCCCAATAGGTATACTTGGTACATTGGGTACCTACTTAGAACAATAGACTAGCATTTCAAAATTCGAGCTAATATCAAATTTCGACGAATCCCGTCCAATACCTTCGTTCTAGATTTGAAATGTAGTGCACTTTTAAAAGTGCAGTTCATATGAAGTTGGCTTGAAGCCAGACCGAGTATCTTCAAACTTACTTCGTGACAGTACCAAATGACGGAAAGAACAACTGCATAACTGCAGTTAAGGCGGTTCACACACGCAGCGCATATTTTACGATTTTACGGATACGGTTTTTTACAAAACGCATAGACACATCATCGAATAGGGTACTTGACTGGTAAATATAACAGTAACAGTCACATCAACATAGTCACATCATGACATGACACATCATCACATCACATCAACACAGTCACATCATGACACGATCAAATAGGGTACTTGACTGGTAAATATAACAGTAACAGTCACATCAACACAGTCACATCATGACATGACACATCATCACATCACATCAACACAGTCACATCATGACATGATGAAATAGGGTACTTGACTGGTAAATATAAAAATACCAAAGTTGTATGCTTGAAACTACCATTAAAAAGTACTATGATCTTTAGACATTTTTCAAACATTGAAAGTTACAATTTTTAAACGGAAAAAGTATACAAAGTAAGAGTTTTGGTGCCATAAAAATTACTGGCAAATCACGTCAGATTTCGGCGTTTCATACAAAATGCCGTGTGATGCCGGCTTAGAATAGCATCACTTCAATTTTATCCGTGGGTGTCGTAAGAAGCGACTAAGAGATAATTATCTAGGGAACGGGCAGCAGAGATTCCTGAGAATTGAACATCTTGCACTGCCCTCGCCAATCCGCCTGCCAAGCGTGGTGAGTATGGCAATAAACCCCAATACAAAGGAGGCCCGTGTCCAGCAGTGGACTGTTGAGGCTGTTATGGTATAAAAAATATCTGACCTGTCAGTCAAATACCCTATGGCAGCTGTCACAGTCTGTACTCACAAACCGCAATCTGTCGGGCGTGTGTGTGACTCTCCTTATGTAGTTGCAGCTGAAACTTTAGTTTTTGCTGTAAACTACGAGTACTTAAGATCTCCAAGGCAGGTTTTATTTTAATTTATGTACTTAGTTTAGTTTAATTTAAAAAAAGGAGATAAGAATGGGTGAAATAAAAGTGGCTTTGCAAACGAATGATCGTCATTTGTCATTGTCACAGGCTTTTAATTTCAGATAAAAAGAAAATAAAATAAATTGTTGAATACCAAGTTCAAATGTTTGAAAGGTGGAACTGCCTAAGAAACAGAACAACATTCCTAAAAGAACACAGGTTGAAATATTTTAAAAAGTAAAAACTGCATCTTCAGATGCAGAGTTCAAAACGTTGCAATCATAAGGAACCTTGCTGTCCGTTCCCTTGATTTTCTATATATTTCTATTTTCCTAACACACATTTGTGTTCAACGAAACGTGTTGCGCCGACCCCAAGTAATTGGGAAGATGATGATGATTTTCCTACACACATTATCACGCCAATATATTTTGCGGGGTAGACAGAGCGTAAAAAGGCTTTTTACACCAAATCTGACAACATTTTGAGAGCAGGTACCTAATTTAGAAGACTGTGTATCACCATAGTGACAGGTTGTGAGCCTGTCGCCTAAAATGGCAACACACATCAACTTTCAAATCCCTTAATCGCTTCGTAAGACACGCACGGGAAAGATATGGGGTGATGCTTTTCTAAGCCGGCACCACACATCTATTTTCCTAACATTTTGTATTTCAATAACTCCTGTCAACAATACGTAACAACAATTTACAACTGGAACGTTCCCGAGGCGTAGACGCTGTCGTGTAATAAAATAACTGATTAAAATTCGGTGCCAAACGGAGTTTGAACCCAGTGTCAAGGTAGGGCGCAAAATTATGACGACTGTTCACAGATCTAGAATACATTGACTCTACCACATTCTACAGTAAAGGTGTCCTTATAGACTTAGTTTGACGTGACGTGGTGGGCCCTCAAAATTACTGTATGGGGATGCCCGAAAGACCAGGCGGCACGCCGTGGCGCGACCTTCATACTGTGAACGATGCTGTCACGTTGACGCCGTACTACGACGCCGCCCCGGTCGGTCTTTATTTTGACCAATACTGTTCTTTCTGGAGGCTTTTTACCTGACTGAGATGTAAGCGTGACATTGAAGTCAGTAATTTGCAGTACCTAGCTATAATTCCTTTGACTGGGATGACTGGGACAGCGAAATCATTTAGACACCGTAGGTATGCGGCGCTGACAGAATAAAACGTCCCACTAAGAATTAGCCTTCTTTCGGAAGAAAATTAAACTACAGTGTTATTGTTTTGATTCTGTGTAGGTTCTAAGTTCTTTACTGGTTTCCAAGTAGGTATCAAAGTTCACAAGATATGTATCTATCTTCAGTAGCGAAAGAACCTACAGCATAAACTTCTGGTACTTCTAGACTAATTGAAGTCATAGGAAGACGAGTCTTGTTATTGACAGGTCTGTGGTATTGTTGTCATTCCGAAATTGTTTCCGATGTCTTGCGCCCAAACTTGGCGAAACCCGAGTTCAAAATGGAAGAAGTTTGGGCGTTTTGAGTATTTATAGACAACAAAGGATTAAAACCGCAATAGATCCGATTAAATGAACAAAATTTAGGAATGTTTAAGAATTTATTTTGTTCAATTGAATACCTTTAGATTCTGACATAATTTTTAAAGTTGACTGGGTTAAATTTTTTTAGGTTTTAAGATAAGTTTGGTCTACGTGTATTTGAGGGGGTACGCTGATGAATTCTTACGCACCTCATTCCAAGGTTTGAATTCAGAGGACTTGGGTCTCCCCTTATTGGGGTTATTGCTATACTTACAATTCTAAAATAGGCGACTTTAATGCAATATGTTTAACTTGTAGGGAATGCTTATTACATTGATAATCATCTTACAGTCGCTTTTTACTACATCCACGGTTATGTTTGGTGTGATGGTATTCTAAGCCGTTGGTACACGGCCTTACTTAAAGTTTATTGGGATTTTAATGCACTCACAGTGCTATATTATTCTCAATGTAAATAAGAAATTGAAGAAAAGTCGCTCATCGACCGGGGCTCGAACCCGGGCCGTATCGGGCTGATCAACGCCCCCCTGCTCTGCCACTGAGCCATCGATGCACCAGTAGATGCCTTTATAAAATCACTTACTTTTTCCACTAAGGCCAGGTGCAGACGGTTACAAAACACAGTAACTGTGACATATACCCTTGTTACCAATATCGGCGCTGGGGCGAAGCGAAATGAAAAATAAAAGTCGGGTCGTAAAGAAAATTACTTTCCGCCTCCTGAATTTTACTGTAACTTTCGCTGTAGGACATGTAGGAAGGAATTCTTAAGGAGGGTAAAGTTAGGTTTTTGTGTGGTGACAAAATAGAATAGCATCATATCATATTTCATCGCGTGGTTGTCGTAAAAGGCGACTGAAAGATAAATGCAGGGGATGACGAAGTAGCAGTGTTCTGCCTGGCGCGATGTATAATGGCATGTACCTCTACATTGTGAGTAATTTAAGCAACAAAAGATGAGAAGCGTAATGTTTAAGCATTACCTAGCTAAAAGGTGCACACGTAGACAGCTGATGTGGCGCAGTGGTTAGTATGTCTGCCTGCCACGCAAAGGTTCCGGGTTCAATTCCCGGTGGGGTCACTCACAAAGTTGATGTTTATCACTTTGTCAAGTTGTTCCCAGTCTGGTCTGGACATTGCAGGCTGAACCACCTGATTTTCCGCAAGTAAGATGGTTCCGTGCTTCGGATAGGCACGTTAATCCGTCGGTCCCGGTTGCTGTCTATGATGGCGGTCTTTACACAACCATGTCAGAGGCCTGCTACTTGCAGTAGGCGGTTGAAAAACTCTGACACCAGGGTTCATCGGGTCGTTGAACGACTCGGTGTCCCACACGAAAAGAAAGCTTAAAAGGTAATAGGTTAACTGTCGCAAAGCTATACATTTTCTGCATTGTGAATACATTTTAGAATATGATTTTTCTTTCTTTTTTTTTAAAAATGAAATTTAATATTTTGCGCGAGTTTTGGCGAAATTTTTGTTATGTAGAGACGGAAATAAGGAAGTTACGTACTTATAAAAGTATCTAAACGTAAACAAGATTGACTTTTGCTTCGTCCAAATTTTCATCAGTTACTTATTTGGAAATACACGTAAGACGAAACACGAAGAAAGATTTGTTGTGTGTGTAATAATATTCTCCATAAATCAAAGCCAAGTTAGACGTGAAAATAATAACCATGGTAAGTTTGTTGTCCTCTTTTTTAACAGACTTCTAGAAAGAAAGAAAGAAAGAAAGTTATTAATTAGATCAACACCTAACAGAATTTTTAAATAGTCCAACCAAACAATATATGTGTTGATATCTACACTAAAATTATCTATACTTTCGTATATCTCTATTTAATTCAAGGATTTTCTAGCCTTGCCAATGCAATCCCGGAAACAAGATAAAAATACAAAATAGTTAAAAAATATTAACAATGTCACTAGTTTGTAAAAAGCCTGAAATCTCATAAGGCTCGCCTAAGCTTCGTACATTGTTTAGTGGCACTACAATAAGTGTACTCGGCCTACTTCGTGGTCTAGTCATTTCTTCAGGAGCTTAGCGCGACGCTTATGCCGGTTTCCATATAAAATGTATGAAACAGAAGAGACGCCGTCTACACCTGAGAGACACGTGTCTTATCGACGAGGCCAGCATCACGTGTCACGACTCATGTCTTACGTTTTGCATTTATGTAGATAGCGCTAAAGGAGCTTTAGAGATCTTGTAGAGAAAAATAAATTGAATCTGAATTCCTTTTATTTTTCTAAAGACATCCTAACATCCCAGAAAAAGAATAGAAAATCATAAGTTTTAGACAAAACTAAAAATATCACTAGTCTGTACAAAGCCTGAAATCTCATAAGGCTCACCTAAGCCTCGTACATTGTTTAGTGGCACTACAATAAGTCTACTCGACCTACTTCCGGTGACTTCCTCAGGAGCTTAGGGACGTAAGACTTGTGTAACTTAACTTGGGTTTCCAAGGAAAAATTAGTTTGACAAACTTTACAGCTATTATATACATAGTCGTACATAGTACTATGTGCTATCACATCAACCTACCTATTTGAAAGATCAACATGGTTGGCTGGTTTTCCATACAAATACTAAGAATAACTAGTTTAAGCTGATCCCTTACTTTCAGATACAGCTAAGAATTTCAAGAATGCTCAACTCAAACCTGTCACTATTATACCTTTTCTATACCTAGGTATAGTGATACCTACACGAAAACAGGTCCTAAAAATATTTTGTCGAAAGTGTCGATAAGATAACGACCAAATGTTACGGTTACCTACCCCGCAAGGGAATAAGACGTGATGTGTGTGTGAAACTACCCAGAAGGACCTTTGTCGTACTCAACGACGATAAAACGTTGCATAAAACTGTTAATTATTTTAGGGAGATTATAAATTGCATATCAAATAAATAATCGCCTATCAATACATATTCATCGTTTATATTTTTTTTACATCAAATACTTTTACTTCACTACAAATAAACTAAATGTTTAACAAAACATAAACTGCAGATAATTCGAAATTTTACATCAATATGACATAACTCTTTTCCTCATAATGCAATACAGATAAATTTATTTTTGTACAAAAATACTACATACATAGCATAAATACTGACTGCACAGCAAATTTTCCATATTTCATATAGCCTTAGCGGCTCGCTGGCCGAATGTATGGAACATGCTGCACCTGAGAGAAGAGTTCTGAAATTTGGTACACTTAATCTTTAGGGTAAATGAATCAATTTGATCCATAGTACACAATTTTAAAAAAATCCTATGAGGAGTAATGACGTCATCTTTTTTTTGTATGGGAAAAAAAAATTTTTTGTTCCAAAACCTATCGTGTGTGGTATCAAATGAAAGGCCTCGCTAAGCCGATTCTAAAAATATATGACATTATTATATTTAAGTCACTTGTATAAAATTAAATAGGAAATAATTCTCGAAACATGCCACGTTTGGGCTTCTCAAGGTATGATACGGTTGAATCATGACTTATGAAATATACGTAATATAATGTGTAATATTCTCATCTCTAACCTCAAGAAAGGTACTACGGATTTTTTGTCTTTAAGTAATTTTTTTTTAATTTTAAAGTTACAGAAATTTATGAAAACACACTTAGTTGAAACTTGGCATCAATAGTTCAATTTTGGTCACCGAGGATGATAAAAATAAAGCCAGATGAGATTTTAATCATATGTACATCATATTCGTTTTGCAAAAAAACATGTTATGTGCTTCAGAGGGCACGGTTAACCCTCGGCCCCATCGTAGTCGTGCTCTATGAATAATTAGACGGCGGCGGTCGGTCAGGGTCGATAGTTAGGGGTCGAATAGTAACCATGGTTCATCGGGTCGTTCGTAGACTCAGTGTCCCACTTGACAGAAGAAGATTTATTAATTATAAGATGCTAAATACAGATGCGAGAGGAGTTTTAGTTCATCTTTATAATTTTCATTTGTCTTTTTCCATACAAAAAAAAGATGACGTCATTACTCCTCATAGGATTTTTTTAAAATTGTGTACTACGGGTCAAATCGATTCATTGACCCTAAAGATTAAGTGTACCAAATTTCAGAACTCTTCTCTCAGGTGCAGCATGTTTTGAACTACCGCTAGGACTAATAGCAAAATAACTATCCCAGTCGCATATTAACCAGTAAACATACGTAAGTAAACATAGGTTTATTAGGTCTATCCATTATTTTATTATAGACACCAACATGCAACAGGTGGTTTAACGTGCCCTCCGAAGCAAAGAACAATATTTTTTACGTTACTGGCCAACAAGTTGCTTAACTTTTTTTTTTACCAATACTAGGAACAATCTAATTCTTTCTCTTTTATCGCGTGGGTCACCATGTTGCCGTACAACGGTTTGAACCCTGGCCACAGAATACATAATAGTACAGGTACAGAAGACGCACTCCACCATAGCGATTCAACAAATATAAATCTTTACGCGCGATAATAAAGTACAATTTCCTTCGCGCCGGCTTTGGATACCTACTTTTATATTAGCCTACTCATCGCGCGCGCAAGCAAAAATGAGCCGAATGGCTGCGCGCGAAAGTTCTTCTGCCGCTGGCGCGTCCTGAAGGTCACAGTCAGCGCGCTCAGTGGGGATGTCACTTTCGAATTCAACGACCTATATCCCCCAGCTTTATCTAATGTACTGGTGTTGGCAGATTTGTGTAGGTACTAGTTAAGGAGAAAAACATGTACCCAAAAAAAACTGCACCGGAGCCGGACCGCGCCAGCCGCCACGGCCGGCAGGCAGCGAGCGATGCGGTGCCATCAAACACATCTAGTACCTACCTAATCCACCTAATCGTAACTAAGTAACATGAAATACCTAGGTTTAAATGACAGTATCTGTATAAGTGTAACACCAGCATGTAGGTACCTAGATAATAAATAATAATTTTATTACATAGCTGGAATCTATGTAGGTACCTATTTTCTTACCTTTCGATGTCACGCGGTAACTTGTGGAACTTGAGGCTTTTATCACTAGAATTATTCAAGCATTTATAAGCAATGCAGTATTTTCTTATTCTCATTTTCGCGTAATTTACGTAAATTTAGTACAAAGAAAGAATTAAGAGCGGCAACGTGGGAGCGCGTGCGTAACGAGCGGCGTGCGGCAACCCACTGATTAACCTCCCCGCGGGTGTCGCCGCACGTACTTGTAAATCTATACCTACGCAGTGGAGTGCGCCAGGTCTGCCCTGGCGTAGAGGTTTTTAACCACCTACAAACAAGAAGGTACTAGGTTGACAAAGTTATGTAAGACTAAACTTAGACCGCAAAACCACGAAGGCTTTCTGTACCTAACTCTATTGATCAGATTTTCCGGCCAGTACTTACATACAATCTCCAATTTAATTTAGAAGGCAACTGCCTCTTGGTCTAGCGGTCGCGACGTTGGAGTCTGATCCAGAGGGCCCAGCTTCGATTGTAAGCGTGTTCTCACAAATTTCATATTTATCACTTTGCAAAGTTCCCAGTTTGGTTAGGTTAACATAACGGTTAGGT